TTCCAGCTTTTCCATAACACTTGGCATCCCACTGAGTCCTGGCAGTCCAGCACCTTCCTCTCCAGCTGTTCCAGGTTCTCCTAGTCATCTGCACAGCCTCCCAGTAGCCCAGCCCTGGGCTGCCCACACAGCAGGACAAGTCCTTCCTCCAGAGCCTGTCCTCATGGCACAGCCCCCCCATGCCCACCTCCCCAGGAATGTGCTGCACTCTCAGACTGCTTCACCCTGGGCACAACCACACCTCCCCCAGCTCCCAGGGCTCAAGAGGAAAGCTCAGAGCGGAATGCAGACTCACCTGACATTTATGGCAATGTCAAAGACCTTGTGAGCCGTGGAGTCCCCGCAGGCCTCTGGGACTGTGTGCACATGCAGCAGGAAGGGCGCCTCCTCCTGCGTGGGCTGCACGTTGTACCTCAGGCTGGTCTAGGGGACAGCCAGCAGCTCTGAGTGAGTGTCTGTGAGCGTGTGTGTGCTCCACGTGGGAGAGAGGGGACCCTCTCACCCCCAGCCTCCCTACAGCCTCTCCACATTGGAAACACTGCCCTCCTTCAGTCCCACTCTCTCTTCCACATCCCTGTACTCATTCTATCCTCTGCCCTTTACCCACAGCCTTCCACCTCTCCCCTCTCTCTGTCCTTTGCTCTCCTCTCCCTCAATGGAAGGATTTGATGATCTCAGGGTGTTTTCCAGCCTGGATGATCCTATGATTGTGTCCTCTCTAGGCTGGCCAGGGGCTGCCCTCCAGGATGCCAGCTGTGCCCATCAGCCTCACCTGCAGGTAGACGCATCCTTCACCAGACACCTCCACGCTGTACTCCCCTGGCACCTGGGGAAGGGGCACGCGCTGGAGCAGCAGCCGGTTGCTGGGATCCACTTGGAAGTCTTGCTGGAAGTCCCCTCCAGATTGCAGGGCCACTTTGGAAGCTGCCCCGCTCTTGGCATAGGTGGCAGCTCCGTACAGGGACAAGGCTTGGAGAGCCACCACTGTGTCCTGAAAGAGACGAGTCCCAGTGTCCCAGCAGGGGATGCAATGAGCCTCTCCTCCTGTAGCTTGTCCTCCTACAGCCTGCCCTTTCTGCCAGCTGGCACACTCCCCTCCATCCTCACTTTCTCCAAAAGCGTTAAGAAGTAAAAACAGAAGGAAAGGGCAGCTTCAGTGTATTTCCCTTGCCAGGGGCACTGCCTGGTATCTTTTTTCTGTAGCCTCTAAGGAACCTGGCAGCCATGGGAGGTACTGCAAGGATCCATTGCAGGGCTACAGTTCCCACCTTCCTGACAAAACTTCCTGTTCTCCCACCTGGCTCTCTGACATGTGCCATCTTCTGGGACACCTTGATGTGTGAGGTGGCCAGAGGGAAGCAGCTCACCTGGGTGGAGGAGAAGCCTCCACTGGGATTCTGCTGGCTGCTGATCCACTTTGCAATGAGGGAGGCAGAAACCAGCTCCTCCTGGGCAGGGGCTGGCTGCGAGGTGAGCTGGGCCAGGAGCACGTAGGCCGTCATCTCCACTTCTGCAGAGGGAGCTCGGTAGCGATGGAACGGGAGATCAGCCTCAGGCTCCCTGCCAGGCCGCTGCCAGTGAACAGAGCCATCTTCACAGGAGCCAGGGAGAGAGACAGCAAGCAGCTGTTACTGGTAAATACTGCAAGGGTCTTCCTGACCTGCTGCCTGACCCAGCTGGGAGGACGGAGCCTCCGCGATGTGTCTGTCATGCAAGGTGATGTGGGAAGGGTCAGGTTTGCACATTTTGCTGGTTTACAATGAGTGTGAGACTGCTGAGCCTCAGGCCTAGACACCACTTTGTCCTAGACTCCACATTCATGTTGACATTTATGGACTTGGGCACTGCAGGGAACCAGAGACCTCAGGAGGATGCCACTCCTTCCCTCTGTGAGTAGAGATGCCAGGATCAGGCAGTGACAAACTCTGTGAGGCCAAATGGCCCAAAGAATGTGATCAGGGCTTACCCCACTTACCCAGTCACCTGCAGGTGGAGAAGGCAACAGGTGTGTGGGACACTCCCTTCACAGTTCCAGTCCCCATAGCTTAATTGAACACACTGTCTAGCCCGACTTAAACAGAATAATTCTGAAGGATTACAAGATTTCCTCTGATGACTCCGAACTTGTGCTGCAGCCTCCAAAATGCCCTGGATGCTCATTTTCTCTCTCAGCACACCCATCTCTCCTCTGACTGACATGCCTTGTGCTCTACAAGAACACCTTTGTTCTGTGTTGAGCTCATGCCCAGGAAGGAAGGAAGGAAGGAAGGAGGGAATGTCCCTGGGCATTGCTAAGCCTTTGCTAAGCTGTGCCTGGCATGGCGAGAGGAGGGGGCTGAGGAGAGATGGGAGCAGAGCCCCCCAAGGGCTCAGCACCAAGGGAATGGTGCCTGGTGCTTCCTGGTGAGCTCCCTCTGAGCACAGAAGGACTGGGCCCTGAGAGGAACCTCTCAGAAAAGCAATCCCTTTGCACAAGTCTTTCCTCTCCCTGCACCTTTCCCCACCCACAGAGGCCAGTGCCTGCAGCCACTGCCCCACCAGCAAACGCCCATCTTACACCAAGGGACGGTGTAAGGCTGGTGAAAGCCATGTCCCACCACAAGGAACACTCACCCTTTCTCACAGCTTCCTTTTCAAGAGAGTCAAGCAATGCCTTCCGCTGGTCCCTGTTCCCTGCCAGGGCAAAGGCATATGCCAGCAGTGCCTTGGTGTACACATGGTTTTCCTTCTGGTTTGCTGCTGTTTCCAGGCAGAACAGAGCATTCCGCACCACTGAGTGCTGGGGAAAGGAAGCCAGTGATTAGGAGGGTGGGGAGAAATGAGCCTTTTGCCTTACTGAAGGCACACCATCCTACTGAACTTTCAGGAGGGGACTGATGGAAGGAGGTCTAGAAAGAAGTAGGGTACAATGTCTCCCAGATATAGCAAACATGACAGTTATTACACCACAGGGCTTAACAACCAAGTCATTTTTCCAATCTGGAGCAAATTGTGGTCACTACTGTTGACTGACACAGCACAAGTGGCCCAAGTTAGGATGCAGACACATACAGTCACGGGCAGGGGAATCTCCAGCAGCGCGATAGTGATGTAGGCTGTCAGTGTGGCCTCGTTGTCCACTCCACCCTGCAGGGAAACACAAAGGCAGAGGCTGACCCCACCCACCTTCATAGCCTCAGTCTTTTCTCCCACTCCAGTAGGAGCAATGCACTATTCTGCATTGCAGTCCTTTAGCTTGCCTCCTTCCTTTTGCAGCTGACCTGAAGGTACCTCCAATAAATACAGAACAGTGTGTGGCTCCCTCCTCAACGTTTGCCACTGGCATGGGAATATCCCATCTCCCTATGTGCTCAAGAAGATCAACGGGCCCCATCTGACTTATGGCCAAGTTCTAGCCTCACAAAGAAACAACCAGGCAGACTTGTTACCTTCATGGCATTGTTCAGGAGTGTCCCAGAACTCTGGAAACAGCCATTCTCCTTCTGTTTGTAGGACAGCCAGTGCAAAGCATCCTGGATGTGCCTCTCCTCTATGAAGATGTGATGCCGGGCCTGGGCAAAGGACTTGAGGACAAAGGCTGTGAGCCTGAAAGTGAGAAAAAGAAAGGGCCTGAGCAGGCCTGTTGCCCATTTCCATTGAGAGGGCCCATGCACACTTCATCTATCTGGAAATACGCGAGAGGACCTGGGAAACTGTGGGCCAATTAGTCAGACAGCATGTATATTATATCCTCATGTCAAAAAATTCTGTCCAAAAATTGCTTTCCACTTTGATTTTTGTCTCTCAGTTTTGGCTCAAAAAATCCTGTGATCTCTTTGTGTTGAGGCTACAGTTTGTAGGACAACGATAGTTCATCTGTCTTTGAAAAAAGCTCTTTGAAAAATATCCATAATTGCATGCCAATTAGTTAAATATGCATAAGAGAAGTACTCAAAATTACAAGGAAGAATAATTAAATTCCTGCAAGCTCATGGTCTGCTGGTAGAACTCTTAAACCGTAAATCCATGCTTCATGGGTTTCTAAGAACTCTCCTAGAATTTTAAAGTAAAGCAGAACATGTTAAAAGAGTTTTTGTTAAGAGTTGTTGCAAGCAGTTATGGAGAAGAAGCAGGCATGTGGTAAGAAGCCAACATGCTGTCAAAAGCCAATTACCATTTCAGAAACTAAAAGCAAACTGAGGGTGATGAGTTCTTCCATTATTATCCTTACTTGAAATTGAAAACACATGACAATGGTATATAGGAGCAAGTCAAAACTTTTCAATAAGTCAAAACGGCAACACACATGCTCCTCCAGCCTGTCTTTGCTTAGTAGCATACAGTTAGAAAAAAAACCATTCAGCACTGTTCTTGGATTATCAACCTTTCCACTTGTGTTTCCTCATATGTTTCCATATGGAACCATCTTTTCCAGCAGACTTTTCAGCAGATGCCAGTCTAGAAGAGCTGCCACTGCAACTTTTCAGCCTTCTTCAGTCAGGGTGTTAAATCCCTGCTCCCTTCTTCCCCAGTTTATCTCTATTTTCTTTTTGTTTGTAATGGTCCTGGGAGCCACTGGTGGGAGGAAGCACTTCACCCATAAGCTGGCTGATGTAGCCCATTTATTAAGAAGGAGGCAGCCTAGGGACCACACCAGCCTTGGAAAGTCTGCTGGTCTACAACAGAATTTCCTATTTACTGTCAGACAGCGTTTATTATAAATGTGTGGGTGAGAAAGAGGAGCATATTGGAGATGCATAGGTGGCATTGAAATCTCACCAGGTATTCCCTGGTTGGCCATAACGTGGTCCAAAGGTACTGTAAGAACCATCTGGGTGCTTGTAGTTCAGCTGCCTCTGATAACCTGCAATGGAAAGATGAGGCAAGATTCAGATGCAAGAAAGAATCTGCTGAGGGATGGGGAAATAGAAAAATAGCTCCATCAGCAAAAGCAAATGGGAGAGGCATAGGTCAGTCCTATCCTAACCAGCATGCAGTGCTGCTGCATCCCCATCTCCATGAACGAGGAAAAGCAACACCTGCCTTTCTTCAGAAGGATGACAGGACCTATAAATGACAATGAGTGAGTCACTGTAACAGTGACAACTCTGCACTGCATTGCCACCCCATGACAAAATTGCTTGCAATCATCAGGTACAGTAATGCTTAAGCAACACAAAATAATAAAGAAAAAAGCAGCAA